CGAGCAAGAGATGGGTCGACAACGTTAAGCCTTTCCTCGCCGCTGCTCTCGTGTGTGGTACTGTTGAGACTTGTTTCCTTCTTCCCGTCGTTTTTCTGTCATATCCGCAGTCTCAGGTAGTTTTATTATTTTTTGTGTGTTCGCTTAATACAACGGCATTTACGTGGATACGTCGAACAACTGCTGCTACGGTTTGAGTGACATGTGTACAGCTAGTCAACGATGACACTGGTCGATTATCGATAGACCTCTCTCTCGCCACAGAGAGACTTCTCGGAGTTCGTATTCAAACTTTTTCGTCACGGATATTGTAAGACGTATGGATAAGATCGACAGGAAAGAAACAACTTATTTACGGGCTTTCTTTGTCATGTAGGACGCGAGTAAAGTGCTGCAATCGCTTTTTTTATATCTCGTGATAGAATGGTATCTCGTTCTTTGTCGTTATTCGTGTGCAGTTGCGTCGACATTTGTAAATATGCGTGGTAATCTAATTTTCACTGGAAGGTGAAAAACAAGTTCGTGTGATTATTGAAAGTGCGTTGTTTGTGGTTATGTACGTGGTTATTTATACTAATATTATTTCATTTCCTTTACTGCGTTTAACTAGAATCTTAACTGTATAAAGGTAATAGTATTATTGTATACAAAACAAGTTATGTTTTGTTCTAAGGCAGCTCGAGCCCATAGGGAGAAGTAAATTAGGAGACTAAGCAGTAAGTTTAGTACCCCTGCCACACGGAAAAGTTGATAAATTTTTATTCAGTGATATAGGATTTAATCAGCTCGCGGTCTTGAGTGATTATACGAGCGCCTCAAGCGGGTTTGTTGACCCCATAATGTCATTCGATCGAAATTACGTTAATTTTGCCATGTGGCCGGGGAATGATGCAAGAATTCAGTGACTGCACGCGATAACGTCGCTTAAATGATCGTGAGAAACACTTGTCTTGCCTTGTCCGCGTTGGCTACGTCTACCTGATTTGTAACTGTTCTGTTTTGCTGTTTCCAAATCACTGCGTGTCTCGCCACTTTGTCGAAGTATTTCTGTATAAAATATGCATTCCTACAACAATAATTGCATGACTCAATGTTTTCGGCTTAAAACAATCACATTTTTCTATAGACGTCTTATACGCATAACCTCGTGCCATTTCGTACCGATTATTTAGCGGTGTAATGTTCTGCCCGTGTAATAAAGTGTTTCTGAGACCCGTTGCTATGTGGAGCTTTCATTTTAGCTAATAAGACCCGCGTGTGTGACTAAAAGCGCGTTACGACGGTCGATCCACGCGCCTTGCCTTCGCTTCGACGCGCGCCCCCGATGGCCTTCCTTTGTGACGTCACGAGAAGAGCGCTACGGCCTTCTTCTCCAGGAGACGTTTATTTAATGCGTGCCCTCTCCCTCGTTTTACCGAGTCGTCATTTTTCCACGTCGTCAAGGTGCAGTCACGTGACAACACGGATCACGTGACCACCTACGTGCCCTTTCTTCTCCTCCCCCCCCCCCCCCCCCCCCCCCCCTCCCTTCTCGGGCCGTGTTCGACCTCTGTCCTCCTCTCCGGCATTTTATTCTCCCTGCTTGTGCTTTTTGCTTGCCACTTTGTTTTTGTTCCTTTTTTGTTTGTTTTAGAGGGTGGATCATCGCGTGGAGGGATTTTTTACAAAGACCACGTTGGTGGAGTCGCGCGCCCAATGTCGGATAACGACGAAATAGCCGTGCTCCGGAAGTACAGTCTCCGACAATATGAAAGACCCACTGGGAGCGCGTGGCCGAGGCGGTGGCTGGCGGGGGCGCTGCGAGCGCTCCGGGCAATTCCATTCTGCTTTGAGGGGAGGACGCTCGCTCGGGGCCCAGCACAAACTGATAAGCGCGTTTCGGTTTAGCTGAGCCCGAGTGAGCGTCCTTTCCTCGAAGCAGAATGGAATTGCCCGGAGCGCTCGCAGCGCCCCTGCCAGCCACCGCCTCGGCCACGCGCTCCCAGTGGGTCTTTCATATTGCCGGACAGTATACGTGCGAAATCTTAACAAGGTTAAAACAACACAATTTGTTGCAAAATACACCCCAAAGAAAGCCCCCCAAAGTGAGAGAACAATGAGTCACAGAAATGTCTGGTGGCATGCATTGTAAAATTTGTAGAGAAGTCAACGCCCGATATCCTCGACAGCATAATCATTCCCTGGGCTACTAGTTCACCGCACGCTTAATATATAAGCAAAATAAGTGAAAGGCACAAGTGAAAGCGCAAGTCAAAAAATAAATTTGGAGACTGCACTCATTAGTTTGCTGCATGTCACCTCTCACTGAGATGTAATTCTTCGGTCACATGTATTGTCAAAAAAAAAAAAAAAGAAGATTTTACGTTGAAAAATTATATGGAAAACCACATCTGCGTTAAACAAACACGATTCTTAGACCCGCCACCATAACGGAAAATTTCAAGTGCTTCGCTGGCAAAAGGAGGTTAGCGCGCAGTTCACTTCTTAATATCAACGCGATGCCAGAATCCCAGCTTGCAAGAAAGAAAAAAAAGAAAGGAACTATCAAACGGTTCTTTATTTCAAATGTGTGTTTTATTCTTGCAGCTTCAGAAAAAAACGAAGCAGGCCGAAGACACTTAAGACTGTTCACGTGTGGGAATGCGAAAGGGGCGTTATATTTCCAACATCCTGTTATCTTGGAAATAAACATCATTATTATAGTCCTGCGGGTGTAATGTTTTTTAGTAATGTTCCCACACATATTAAAGCTGCTTCTGCCAGTACTGCATTTGGTGTGTGTCTTCGCGTATTCAATAGAGGCCGTTTATGTAGACGCGGTCGCCTCCCAGTCCATCGCACAAAGCGCACAACCAGCACAGGTGAAGTCCGAAGAGCAACTGACGCGTTGGAGGCAGCGCGCCACGTCTTCCATTTGCACACGGCGCTCCGGCGGTGACATCAGGCTCCCCCCACTGTGCAGGCGCGGCGCCCCCTCCGGCTTCATGGCTTTCGTGACGAACCATCTGCGTTGCTGTGCTTTTTGTTGAGTTTTATTTCTATGACGCGTCCGCTTTAACGTTGAGTGGCGCGTGCTTGATGACGTAATTTTATGGCCATTTTTCGGGCACAACGCCGACGCCTTTTCCCGTAATAGAACATATAAGGAAATGGTCCGGAGTGAGAGAACGCGGTGAAAATAAAAACAGGAACTGAGAAGTTGAGGAAAAGGAGGAGGTAGGGGGCACATAGGTGCTCACGTGATACCCGTTGTCATGTGACTGTGCCCTGACGAAGTGCAAAAAAGGCCTCTCCATTTTACCCCTCCGAGCCTGCTGAGGTTCCCATATATGTGTAGTCGAACAAAATGGCGCTGCCCTGAGAGCTGTTACTGGAATGGTCTATACGCGAATCAGCTCATTTACGTGACGGCGCGGTGGTGGCGCGTTGGGCGCACTTCCGGTCTAGGGCTGTTGGCGGAAGTCACTATGCGGGACGTGCATTCCTGCTTTGTTTTGAAAGGAACCAGACAAAAACCTGCCTTTTTGTCAAAACGCCGTGACTGGAGCTCTACCAAAAGTGTCGGGAAAAGTTTGAATGCCAGTTTTTATGTGTTTTAGTTTTCTTCTGCTCGCTTTATTCGAGAACGTGGATAGGAGCCGTGAAAAACGTAAACCAGACACCGTCCGACCGCGATTGCTTCTGCGGGAAGTACTTTGGGTTGAATTCACGGATACATGTGGTCGTCACAATTATTTGTTTTGTTCCAACCTGAACTCGGGAAACCCGCCAAGTTGTACGGGCCACCTGCTGCCTCTAGTTCAGTGTGTCATCAAGTTCAAACGGCCGCCTGATCGTTCGAGCTGTCGTCTGCTCTCTCAAACATTTCTGCTTGTTATCGTCTGCAGGTTCAAACGACAGCGGCCCGTAGACCAAACGTTGACCCGGTAATTGCGATAAGAAGTAAGTGTTGGCCTCAAGAGGCTTTTAAGTTTGAAGGATGGTTGGGGCAAGCAGGCTAAGTGTAAACAGTAGGTACAAGATGATGTTGATAAGTATTACCAGTGGCCATCACCGACTTGTTATGTCTAATTCACTTGGTCCAATTCGGCTTGCGATTTTCAGTATCGACGTCGACATCTCAGCTACGGTTCAGGCTTCTGCAGCCCGAGCGACATCATGACTGAAAATAGCGAGCAGAACCTCACCATGTCAATCAAGTTTTAGCGTCCATTCTACGGCGTCCACGCAGAATGAATCGCGGCATGTTATTCACGCGAAGGTTTGCTGAGTAATGAGCCTCATTAATTTCGATGAGGCCGCTAAAGTAGTCAGACATCTCCAAGAATACGTAGAATCAACAATTCCAACGCGAAAAAGAGCACGGGGGCTCACACCGACGCCGATAACGTCGCATTCCAATGCTTTGTTTATGGGCGACGACGAGCTTCTTGCCCACACTCCATCGCGCATGCGCGGCGCCGGTGGCGTCCGCTAGAGGCGCTTCGGTTTCTTTGTAAATATGAGTTGGTCTGCAAGTTGAATCAGAAATCACAAGACACTACAAATTGAGTACCAAGCCCATTTTTAGTTTGGTGGTGATAGACGACCTATCTGTCTCGCGCAACTCTATTATGCATTCTGTAAAAAAGTGTAAGGTAGAAAAAAGACATGTCCAGGTTCCAGATTCAAGTTTTCTAATTATTTATGCTGCTAACGGTAAGTGCTATTCCTTTTGTATTGCGTTATGAAACGCTTCCCTGCGAGAAGCCGGCTGAACGGAATAGCAACTAGGTGTGCACGATATTTCGATTAAATTAAAATAACATAATTATTTTAAGATTACTTAATTTTCAGCGATGCATTCAAGAACTGTCTGCAACTCTAGTAGTCACGGCGCAAAAGGAGCGTGTCAAAAATATTTAAATAATGTTTTTCGGAGTCAAAGTTGTAGAAAATGAGCCGGCGTATAAGATTTAGCATGTTGAAAATGTAACGCAGTAGAAAGATTTCTTACTTACCTTTGTCATGGAGCCTTATTAAAGTAAAGCAGGTTTGATAATCGGTAAAAAGCAGCCGATAATCCTTGAAACCTAAATATAATTTGCAAACAGAATTCAGACGTGCCGAACATATATCATACGGCTATCGATGTAAACATTATGAGATTCTCTTTTGACTCTGCTACACAAACTAAATTAAAAAAAAAAAAAATCAGGGCCGTCATGCATATTAAAGGAAACTTCAACTGTCTCCTTCTGGGGTCATAGAATTTTTTATTTTTTTATTTATATTCAAGGTACTTATGTCAGTTTAATCAACTTCCGGTTAGTCGCTTTTCTAACCAGCACAAGGCCGATTTTTTTTTTGTTGATCAATTTTTAAGGTACTAATATTGGTTTAATCAACTTCGGGTTAGTCGGTTTTCTAACCAGCACAAAGCGAACAAATTGTGGAAATTCTCTGTCCAGAAATCCACGCTCAATTGGGGTTTATCTCGTATGCTGCTTGCACTGTTCTACTAAATTCAGTGACTGTCTTTTTTAATATAATTTTCACGTAGAACCTGTTTGAGGCGTGAATTTCGTGCGAAAATCGTTAAACACGAGCGTAACGAGAGACCGTTACATGGCCGAATAAACATAAAGCACACATAGCCCATAACAGGCGATGCAAAATCATAACAAGCATAGAATGCGTACTTAGGCCATGGTTAGTGAGACTTCATCATTACTGAGAACAGTTGATTGTAATTGACGAAACCGAATGAACGGCTGAAATCGAGTCTCGGACAGCGCAATTCGCAGCCTGTCGCTTGTGCTCGACGCCACGAGGAGGAAGTGAACGAGAGCACAAGCAGCTGGACTAAGTATAACCCATGGAGCAGCAGGCGACTGCCGGCACGGGCAGATGACTCCGCTACTGAACACCTTTCAATTTGCCTTAATCATTCTGATAAGACAGGGGACCATATTAGTGTGGCGTGTGTGCCAGGCGTTTGAAACCACCCCGATCTCCCGGTAACCAAGCTTAAACAATTATAATGCCCGCGTAATGCACGCACAAAACATTCTGCGCTCACCGTGTTTATCAGAATTATCGAGATGAATTTACAGTTTGATAATTTGTTTTGCTTGTTTACTAAAAAAAAAAACTTTACCCTTAGTCTTGCATAGCGAATGCATGCTTCTGTGCATCCAGTTTGATATCGGTGATATTAATTATTTAATAAACAAAAATCTCGTCATTTGGCTAAACGGTCAGTGTAAAACAATATCAGTAATGGCTTACCTTCGTAATAAAAATCGTATTTCATCGTCACTAAGTTTTTTTGTTTCTCAGAAAGTTTAACTTTGATCCACATGTGGGGCTGTGGATAGCTACAGCATGAAACAACGAAACGAAAATAATTATGCAAAGAATCATAAAAGACAAATATCAATCTTCTAAATATTTAATAAATCCAGTTTTTATAGCAAATATTCGTTTAATAATTATATCAAAAATTTGATAACGTCTAAGTAAAACTGGGCCACGATGCCTAAATAGTTTTAGAAGTTTGCTTTTAGTCCCTCAAAATATAAATGAAGGCACAGAAGAAAACATAACCATAAAATGTTTTTTTTTTTGTGCTTAGCGATATGTGACAGTTGACATGATGTGTTGTTGTGCTGTGGGCTGATCGAAGAAGCAAGGAACGGGGAAAAAGCTGTTCGGGGTTCCACGTGAGAAACCAAATAAGAAGAAAAATTTGGTTGTCGCGAATCCGATGGAAGGATTTCGTATGCAAACCCACGTACAGGCTGTTTGAGGTAAGTCACAGCTCCTAAGAGAGTGTTGTTTACTGTATATCCCAATACTACAATCTGTTTTGTCATACGTACGAGTTTGTATTGAAGGCCGCTTTCACGTCGCGAGTATGCGCGCGTGCGTAATAAATACAGTTCGGACTCTTTTCGGTTTTGAGTGTTGTCGTCTGTTCCTAGTTTCTTTCTCCGATTGTCGCCGCTTCTGGCTTTCGCACGAGATAATTAACCGAAATATGCTGCCGTCTTAAAATGAATAAACGACAAAAACCATAGGCCTGTGTTTTCTGTGAACTGCTTCCCCAAGTGCCTTTAGTTCAGGAAAAAATTGTGAACGTTTTTTTTGTTTTTTTTTTTTAAACAAGAATGCATATTCCTATAAAAAAGAAAAATGAGGACTTCGCCAAAAAGCTCGAAATGTTGAAGGTATGTGGGAGCAGAAGTGTCGGTACGCGAGCGGCGGTAAGCCAAATCAGGTGATAAAAGATTGTTTGTGCGTTGGATGTCTTCCTCGTTCTGTATTCAATCAAAATGTATATAGTGCTAATAAATGACTGGTGATTTGCATTGAATTTTCTGATGGACTGCTTCAATGTTTTTCTTATAGCATGTGCTACAGGGAACTGTATTGTTTACAATTATAGCCTACTTAAAGCTATGTCAATCTTCAAGTTGGAGATTAGTTTCATTACTAACAAGTGAATGATCAAATTCCGTCCCTAAGGTTTGCGCTAACATCATTCACAAGTATACTGGAGAATCCATTTATGAAGATACTAATGCTTAAAAATCCTCAAAACCCTTTTGTTATGTATTAGTACGCAATTAATAGCAAGCTGAAGTCATCTAGGTCAAATTTCGTCCGTACATTCTTCGCCTTCAATATACCCTACTCGCACATGTTTACAAAAAAAAAAACAAAAAAAAAACGTATTTTGCATTTTGTTATGGTGCACAGTGGTGGTTCCTGAAGACGTTCGAGCGCTCTGATAACTGCTGCAGGCTGTTCCTGGACAATTATACTTCGTTTCGCCGTACCTGCGCGCGAGGCAAAAGCCATGAGCGCGAGCACGCACCCTAAACAAAACTAGTGCCCGTACTGTACCAGCTCGCATGCGAGCCAGGGATGTATGGGCGAAACAGGACGCTAAACACATCATTCGGGGACTATTCCTGGCACCGTGCCGTCACTTCAGTAATGAATAGGGAAGACGAAATGTATAGGCGAACACGCGAACTCGAACGCTGAATCCAGCAAGCAGACGGGATTCTTCGATTTTCCTCAACTAAAGTCAACAAGGCGAATTTAGCCAAAACCGGACGCGCCGGTGCGAGTGTGACGCTGAGAGCAGTAAAGTCTATAGCCAAACGTTTGACACCACGCGCAAAACAAACCTGCTGTTCTTTTTTCGTTTTTTTTTTTAATGCGAAAGGATTAATTGTTTTATGAAGAAAACCGACGTTATCAACTTTTGAAGCCACGCGCCAAATGGTACCTAAATTCCCCTGTCCGAATAAAGCGAAGCCTGTCGTCTGCAGCAGCGATCAGATGGATAGGCTCCCATTGGCTGACGCGAGTTATAGTTTCAAGGAACGAGGCGCCCATTGGCTGGCGCGCCTCATATCTTCAAGGAACGCCACCCCATGGCGCTGCGGGCCCCGCGCCGGCAGCGGACCGGTAAAAGGAACACGGCTAGCGCGCTCGGTTTCATGTGCTCCTCTCGACTCCGAAGAACATGGCGGCGCCTCAAGCATCTACATCGTCGGCGGCCGCAACCTCGGGAGCAGCGAAATCGGCCCGTCCACGCCGTGCACCGTAGACGAACTAAGAGAGTGGAATAACGCAGTACGACGAGCGAGGAAGCGGGCAGCGAAATCCTCCATTGTTATCAAGCCTCCGAATACACGGCGGGTGGAACGAGCAGCGGCGCTGCTGGCTAGGAGACAGAACAGAGCCTTTCGAAAGCGTGAGGCGCAAGTGGATCGCGATTGAAAGCGTCTCAGGCAAGAAGAGGACGAGGCTCTTCGACAACGCGAGACGGAAACAATACATCGCAAGCGGCATGCTTTCGCATTCACAACTCAAAAGATGTGCTTAGGTGTCCTCGAACATTTCTTTTTTTTTCTAAGGGATAGGGTTTAAGTATCAGGTTTCGAAATATTTTGTATGGAGTAATGACGAAACTCTCTTATCACCCAAAAAGTCAACGAAGGTGTGTTGATATTAGAGAATACTACAGTTCAGTACTTTGCATTCTCCCTGTCACCTTGAGTTGCTAACTTAGAGCAGCTTGTGTTCTTTTTTAATTTTTACTCGTCTTTTTTTTTAGACATTCATATTAAAAATAGCGCAAAAAAGACGGGACAAAAAGACGGGGAAGCACACAGGACAAGTGCTATTTTTAATATTTTTTTTTTTTTAGATATCCTCAATGGCTGAAAGAGAATAACCAACTGGCCTTGTATATTTTTAACTCATTATCGATGATAAAATAACATCTCACAGCTGAGAGACGAATCTGTCTTTGTAAAGCTATGTGTTCAGAGGGCGACACTGTTAGCGCGAACAAACGATCGCCGAATTTTCCAGTTTTTCTCTTTGAAACCAAGGGATGTACGTCATCCAATTTATTATTGCTGCGGAAACAGTTCATTTAGTTCTATAATGTTAGCGATAAGATTCCTTGCTCGCTAATACTATGTAGAAGTAAAATGCGAAAATGCGCCTATGTCGTGATCGCGCTAACAGTGTCGCGATGTGTACATGTAAGCTAGCAGACAACGAAAAAGGCGGCTTATAGACTGCGCATATTGACAGGCCATGCTATAACGCAAAAATTATGATTTTTTAAGGTCTATAAGATCAAGGCGGTCATCCTATACTTTAAAAAAATATTCACGGAATATTTGAAACAAAGCCAACTACTATTCATTCCTCTGTTGTTCATTCATTCATATTCATGCGTTCCTAATTATAATTAGGTCAAGCTAAAATAATATGTCACCAAAAGTTTTTTGGCTAATTTATATATAGTCTCCTCGTCATTATGTAGGGCAAAGCAAAAAATAACCGAATGTATCGTTTATGACTACTATTTCGTGTTTTTGGTGTTTCTTTTGTTTGAAACTGGGGGGGGGGGGGGGGGGGGGGGGGAATTGTTCATAGTCCGTTTTTATCAGAAAATATGGAATATATTGGAGTTGTCTTTTAGATTCCGCAGTTCTTCAAATTTTCGCGTATAATTTTACTGTTTTCAGTTTTTCAAAATTAGAAATAAAAATAAAACATACTCGTACACGAATGTACCCTAAATTCTAAGAACTCATTTGTTCGAATGTTCTTTCTCCAGCTGAGTTTGGCATTGGTGTCCTTTGCCATTAGCAATACTTACTGTCCCACGGGGAATCTTGCAAAGAAGTATTGCTCCAATTACTTTGAAATAACTAACTAATAACTACTTTGAAATAACTAAACACCTGGAAGTAGCCGGTGGGAAACATAGAAGCACCGGCTGCCCTGCCTAAGCATCTGGACGTATGCAAATTACAGGTTTATAGTTTTTATCGTTATAAAAACACAACCCCGCCTCCCTCTAAAAAGACAAATAGTATGCTCCTAGCTGGGAGACGGAACAGTGACTTTTGTCGTGACCCATCGTTTTGAACGAACCTTGACAAGATAAATGGCAAACCCCCTTTCTTTAATAGCCCGATATTCAAAAAGAAAACTGAAGTTTCTTTTTTAATATCGGAGTTTTTCGGGATTCGGAATTTTTCGGATATATCTGAATTGACGAACAATTTGCCGGCAAGTGTTTTTTTAACTTCTTCAGATATTCGAAAACACTGAACACTAGTTACGATATCCAATCATGATCAGATGTTGAATGTGAACACGTGAATCTTGAGGATGCAGGAGTTTGTATCTTTAGGAAACAAAATTATTTCGGGCAGTCTAGAAAAATTTTATCCATATTTTAACAATTCAACTTCTTAGGAAGCCACGTCGTGTCGGAAATTTTCAATACACTTTCTACAGACTTTCTTTATATCGAAGTCTATGGAGTAAATGCGATAGAAGTGCAACAAAATTTTGATTGCCACGTTACAATAGACATTTTGTGACCATATTTCTATAGAATATATATAAACTAGACTCGATAGAATAATAAGGTGCTCTGCGGAGGAGCGACATCACACCCAGTTAGAGCCTCCTTGTGGAGGATTTTTTTGTTCGACTGTGATAAATAATTATTGCCCCTTGCAACGCTTTATGGTTGGAGGTGCAGTTCGCCAACCCTTATAAGGAACATTTCGTATACATTACTAGCGAAAAAAAACGCTCACTTCGACCAGTTCTCCTCCACCAACCACTGTCGCTTATTATCTTCAGGGTGGTCCTCATTCATATGATTGCCTTTCAAGTGTATGATATATATAGCGGTGTAGAGTCCACACCACCGAATTACTATAGCGCTATGAGTTCTCCCTGGCGTGTGTATTTCTCATGTATGCGTATGTGCACATGGCAAGTGGCAAGTGAAGTCTCCGTGGACTTATTGGTACGCAACTTAAAATTATTGTTCGAAATAAAAGTTGCTGTTTTTGTTTCATTCAAAACTTATTAATTGTTGTTACATAGGGGATAAACGATGTTAGAATCTGTTTTCTATGTAATTTCTATCTAAGTTTTGTACGTTAAGCTCTATAAAAAGTCTAATAAAATCGGCCAAGAAGCTATAGACAATGTATAAAAAAGTGGATTCATTTTCTTTAGTATATATGTATATGTATGTATGTATGTATATATATATATATATATGTATATATATATATATATATATATATATATATATATAATGAAGTCTCTATACACCATAATCTGTGGAAATTCTGTAGGAAGTCGATATATATTTTTGTAAGGTATCCCCGTGGTCAAATTTTTGGCGAATATGAAACAAAAACTAACGCGTAGATATGTTTTATTTTTTTTTAATTTTAACCGCTGCATATTTGTTCTAAGAATCAGTAAAAGATGATACGTACAAGTCACTTCTATAGATACCTTTATAATTGAAATAGTACCACATCAGTTTTTCGCCGTTCCAACACATTTTCAATTCTATTTGAACACACGGTTTGACTCCTCCGTGTGCAGTATCGTTTTCTACGGAACGATACAGAAGGTAATATTTATGTCTTGCAGTAAACAGCTGAAATCAAACAACACCACCATGTAATCAAACTTCTCAAACAATTGCACTCGAGCGCCGATAATCAAACGCTCCATCAGCAGGAACACTAATCGCAAGAAGTAATTAGGCGCATAAATGATAAGACTCATTTTTTATTTACTCCACGCACACCAACCCTTCTCTGGCGTTGGACTCGACTCTATTAGCCCCGAGAAGTTCGCGTGGCGCCCCCTTACGGCGAACCGGGGTGACGTCACGGCGAGGAGAGAATTTTTCCCCGACTCGGCCCGCTCGCCCTGTGGAGGCTGTGACGACGCTAGCTGACGGCGCGCCCGTTTCTATTTAATTTTTTTGGCGTGTTTTTCTAAGGAAGTGTAAATTTTTATTTGAACCTTTATTGAGGTACGGCCTGCAGCAACAGGCGAAGCTTCAACAAACATTTTAAACATGGTTGACAGGGCAGGCAACGCATGAATCACAGCTGGTATATGAAAATAAAGAAATCTGGCCACAATTGCAGGAGCGTCACTATAGATTTACATCTCGCATAATAAATGCTGCTGATGGTCTGAATGAATTGGCAGGTTATGTATACTATTTTTTTGTATCTCTGTTTTTAAACAAGATCGCCGAAGCAGAAAAGCTGCATGCTGCTCGAGCAACATGTTAAATACAGTCTGGGCCATCAAGAAAAAATCACAAGTAAGACAGCCCAAATGCAAGGGCAAAGTAAAAAAAAAAAACAAAAAAAAAACAAGGAACATTTATTATATACAGTGCTTGCATTTGACCTTTGATGGATTCGGATAGTATTTCAATGGACTACACGGGTGGTATTTGTGGACTTGTTTATATCAACCCTCAAGTAATGTATAACAAACGTAAGCGAAGGTGTCTAGCTCGTTATTAGCCCCTTAAGCCCTAAAATTGAGATTTTACTTAACTCGAATTGTCCTGAAGTTAAAATACCAGACGCTTTTCTCACGCAGACTATCGCCCTTCACAGGTTCCACATTTTCTGCTACTAGTGCTGCATCTTCCACTGGACAGACGTTCGAATGCTTGCTTTTACTCCTGTTTTCCTCTGTTGTCAGAGAGTCCAGCTGTAGGGAGTTTGGAGGCTGAGGAAGCTTTTCGGGACCTGCAGCAGTGTCTCTTTTAATTGGAAATAACAATTCAGACTAAACGGCGTATTTTCGGAATAGGCTGGAATAAAGAATGTCAGGAAAAAGTATAAACATTCCATATTACGGAAATATTGCCGTTCATAGTTTGGCAGTTAATACATATCATACAGACAACTGGGGGCAATTCGGCCGTTTTTGCTGCTACCATACAAACTAATTTCCAGTAAGTGTGCAGCTTCTAAGAAATATGCCTGCATACGTGTATAAACTATATAATTAATTCACGAAGAAGCTACATTTATGTAAAACAACCCTGTTCCACGAGCACTTCAAAGAAGACATCTGCGAACCAGCGCATGCAGAGTGGCACCGCAGAGTCAGGGTCGCGAGCTAATTTGCCGACCACCCAAAGGCCCATGATATAAATGCCACTTCAAATGCATTGAAAGCGGGATTTAATATCGTCTTAAATCATAAACGTGCAAGGAACAGAATTCCAGCGTCTCAAACGCTTGCGCCATCGCTTCACCGACCTCTCGCAAGATTGCCTTGTGTCGTGTGGACGGACGGGGAGGTTCATCGGCGGAATCGCCTCCGCCGATAGCTTTCGGGATTTGTAACGCAATTTTAAAGGTAAAAGGGACAAGCAGGCTTATAAAATGTACGGAAGCACGTCAATATCGGCCTAACTCAACTTCTTGCACACCAGGTAAACGAAGTGCAGCTCCACGAAGAGCTTGCGGCACACAACGCCAAACCAGGAAACCGGTGCTGGGAGGCGAGCCGATGCGAGATCGCGGAGCGGAGTACTCGCCCTGACGTCACAGTACACCTCACCCAATCCGGGCGCGGCGACCGCAGCGACGCTTGTGCTCGCTCTCGGGGCTAATAAAGCGCCGTTCACACTCTTGCGACCGGGTAATACAGAGAGAGACCAGACCGGTTTTTAAGCCTCTTGCGATCTCTTTGGACCAGCTCCGCTGCAGCGCATCGGGTCCTAAGAAGTCGCAAAAGGCTTAAAAATCGGTCTGGTCTCTCTCTGTATTACCCGGTCGCAAGAATGTGAACGGCGCTTAAAGGCGGGGGCTCAAAATTTTCTTCAGCGTGGCAGAAGATTCCCCCTCTTTTCTTTTTTCCTCCTCCCCTTTCCTCCTCCATTTTCCTCCTCGCTTTTTACGGCCTTCTCGCACGAGTGCTAATGGGCTTACCGGCCCCCCGACAAAATCTCTGTAACCCTTCAAGGTTCTCTGCTTCAATCCCAAAAACCAGGGGTTAGTTAGGCAGGCTGGATATGAGCTCGGAAGGGTTCGGGCTGGCTCGCTTTTCTTCTTTTTTTCTTTTTTTTGCTCTTTTTCTGCAGTTCTAAAACACACTCAGATAGTCAACACCAACTAGCCCAACAACAAGTTCTTTTACATTCAGATACTTTCGCATGCGGCCACACACGCTACACCACCGCATATTTATCTCGAGTGAACGGAACTTGAACATCACAGCAGAAGGAAAAAAGATGGGTATTTTTATCCGAACTTTGAGCTCTACCCAGAGAGTTGAAAATTTGTCGTTCTAAAAACGGCACACTGAAGAGTGATTATATCACTATTGTGGTTTTTTTTTGTTTTTGTTTTTTGTACAAAGTAATAATCATGAGTAATTACAAGTCAAAGATATTGCAGTCAGAGGGACCCAGTCTGACCATTTCTGGGGCATAATATATAGCTTCGTACTACAGGTGTTTTCAAGAGTGACGGCCGCCTCGTTGAAGCTACTAAGAAGAGTAAAAACAAACTTCCATAAAAACTGAAACGGTTTATGGTATATTTCATCTATCTTCAGCCTTTGAAAAAAATTTCTTCGTGGCCAAACGTGCATTTAGTTTCTGTCGACAAATGTAACTGAAAACTTGACACCCAACAAATATCTTGCGTATCAGCAAAGAGAACGGGAAACACGGAGATAGAACCGCAAAATCACAATTTTCTTCGCGTAAAATAGTGCAACTAGCAATAATATGCCACTAGCAATATTATGCCATTTATTAAAAGACAGCAGGTATTACGAAGTTTTCATTCTCTTCTGTTCGCATTTAGAAACGGAATGCCCAGATAGCCTCTGCAGCCCTTACATAATTGTTTGGGGCTTTGTCAGGGTGGGCGAAGGCCATCTCCAAAAAAACTCAGGAGTTCGGAAGGTGTACTACCGCAAGTTTTGGGGCTGCTTGGATAATTTAGGCGTCTGGCGTTCCCCGCCTACTTAGAAAAGGAGTGGAACAGCGGTCAGCTCAACGTCGTCACCAAGCGGGAAATCATGCCGAAATGTGTCCTTGAACACGTGCGAGATCTTTACCCGAACCCAGCCGGGATTCGCCACAATTAATCTACGAAAAAAATTATAAAAAGGGGTAGGCTTAAACGGTTTGGCAGTTTTTGAATATAGTCATGCGGACTAACTGTCCACAAGTACGGAAAGAAATGCAGTAGAGATGCAGAGCTCTATTGTGTTCTTTATGTCCATGCTTGTCTTTCGCGCTGTACGCCAATTAAAATGAATTCTGCAATATCTGTAGATTATGCCTGGTTATGTTGTCTTTAAAAGAAAAGTAATCAAGCAAGTTCGGTATCGTGCCACAATTTGTGCATATACAATTTTATGTGGAATTCAAATTCAAAACAGTACTTCCGCGGGAAATAATGCATCCGTCGTTCTTCGTCTTCCTGAAGCTATGAACTACCGATCCCGGGTACAGGACTTTTGGGTCCACAAATATCACGCTCAGTAGAAAATTCGCCTTTTCTACCAAAAGTACTGAAAATTATTTATTTTTCAAACAGGTCGGGTGGTGATGCGTGTTTGAGTGTAGAACCGTTGACTGGGCACTGGTTTGCGCCAAGAGTGCAGTGCTTCCTTTCATGCTGCCCGCGACGAGTGTTGAAATTTGAATATAGTAGAAATAAAATCAACTGACACCCTTAGAATTATTTTAAACTTGCGCTTTTTTCAGGCATTAAGATTTTTATCGCTCCTTTTATTCATTGTCGTCTTCGATGAGGGAACAACTTGCCGAGGAGGCCGCGCTGTCCGCGTACGCGCCTTGACAGATAAGGTCGCGAATGCTTTTCACGAATCTTTAAAGACCAAGCATAAAAATGAAAGACGCAGCCACTTTACGCCAATGAATTAAGCCAACTTTATGTTTTGGGTAGACGTCTTGCGAGAGTTGCAGTATTTTTAATTATGCCTAATAAATTAAATGTTTAGGACTAAGTACCAAACTTCTTTAGATGTATTAAGAACCACAATGTCAATTGGAAAGTTCTAGAGCTGCTTGAGAAACACCCGAATTAGCTGTTTGCAACGTGATGCGGCTCGCGTGGCTTCCTTCTGACTAGTAATAAAGCTTAAGAAACATGACAAAATACCCCGTGATAAAGCGCCCGCCCCATCATAAACTCAACTTCGAATGTCCCGGAATTTGTTTTCATAGGCCGGAAAAAAAAAAGAGATGCATGCAAGACGCGTGCCCCACGCTTTATTTATATCAGAAAAAAACTGCCCTCTATTTTATATACAACGTTTATTTTTTTATTTTTTTTCACCTACTAGATATTAGAAAAAAAACGTGGAAATTAACATTTTGTGGATGTGAGCTAAACGGCCAGGCGAAGATCGGGTTCAAGAAAGAACGCAACAAAAACCGACTGATTACCTAACATTTGTTAATAAACTTTTTGATTATAAAAGAAAACGGGATAGTTGATTTATAAAGTTTTTGGGCGTAATTAAAAGCCACCAAATTGTCCAGTGAAAATTAGCGCCATTGCGGTTTGTGTAGGTGAGCTATACGGCCAGGCGAGGATTAGGTTCAATAACGAACGCAACTAAAACCGACCGATTGCCTCAAATTCGCTAATTAACCTTTTAATTAGAAAAGAAAACGGCATCTTGTATTTAGAAAGTTGTTGGCCATAATCGCAAGCCACCAAACCGTCCATTCTTAAAAAGATGTAACGCGCGTACACTATTATACGGCGTCCTCCTAATTTGGGCGCGAAAATATAGTTCTGATTTTATGTGGGCTCCATCTCCGCGTGGCACAGCCTAACGCCATGAAGCCAAAGCGACAAATCATTCGCATCGCTGTGACAACGCCACTGTAGAAGGGGCGAGGAGTGCGGTGGCCGAAAAGATTGCGGTAACACGATTCGCGTCCAAATTAGGCTTTTTAGGACGCCGTGAGCCACTTCACGTCCACTACATCTCTTTAAAAATGAATGATTTGGTGTTTTTGATGACTATAGATAAGGCACAAACCGCAATTGCGTAACTCTGACGTCTTTTTTAGAAAAATGTCTAGACGTTAAAAAAAATCGCCCTGTATAAGCACGATTGTAAGGCAGTTCTTTACGTCCGGCGACATCATTACGGCATGGAAGGAGACGTTGACCACAGATCATACTCTGTGTATGATCTGTGGTCACTGTTTTTTTTTTTTCGTACGAGAATGAGCAAACATTTGATACCAAATAAAATAGATTTAGCATTCACCAAATTCGGCTTGTTTACTTGATTCAAATCGATATTTGATTTGATTACACTTATTTTGTACCCGCACACGCCTACTTTATTCCCTAATGAGTTACAAGTAATAATTACATTGTTTTTTTTTTGTTTTTTTTTTGTTTTTTTTTTGTCGTGCGAGGTCATCACAATTTACTATTAACAATCGGAGCTATGCGATTACGCGGAGGAGGCGCATTTGAAGATATTCAAAATTGTTCTGAATACACAAACAACTTCAAACGTCTTGCTGTTTGGGTCGTTTCCTACACGCAGGACCAATAATAAAGTCAACACCTTATAGAGGAGACTATTTCTATCAACTCAACGCGCAAACACGATGTGAAGCGTGTCTGCGTACGTTGGAAAAGAGATACTGGCGAGCTAACCATAGCGTCGAATGTCCATGGATCAAAATGTCCGTGCACCGAAATATCCGCTCACCGAAAAGTCCCACACCGAAAGGTCTTTGCAGCAAAAAGTCCGTACACTGAAATGTCTGTGCACCAAAAAGTCGGCACCGAAATGCCCTACAGCAAAACGCTCTACACCGAAAAGTGCTAGACCCACTGCGGATGGGATCCTCCGTCACCTCTGCCGGTTTACGAACCATGATGATTCAGAACCACTGGTCTATGGAGCGCCATCCCTGATATACAGAAAACGCCGCTCGTACTTCCCGTTGTCGCCATGAATCCGCCTAAACAACAAAAGATGCCAAATCAGATATTTATATTAAAATTGATACTTCAATGACTACTTCTTTGAGCAGAACAAGGCATTTGTGCTCTCACAACAGCAAAGAATCGTCTTCCAAACCAATGCTAAAAAAGAGCCAATGCAACTCGTTGGGAAGAGCAAGTGCCAAGCTGGCTCAAAACAGCTACTCGGTTCGTTCAGTTCCTTGTCGCAGGTGTGCCGGCTGGCTTCTGGATAATCTTTTCAAATCCTCGAAGCTTTCATTTCCTCCACCCCAAACTTGTAAAAAAAAAAAAAAAAAAAAAAAAAAAACCAGGCAGCTGGCAAAAGAATACAAAAAAGAAACGGGAAATGGCGAGGAGGAAACGAGAGGCGATATCCTCCTCTCACAGTGGCGAGAAGGAAAGTGAGGGTCGGGTTCCTTCTCTCTGCTTGCGGGCCGGCCTTTAAGGATGAACAGCGGCGTACTTCAAGCATCGCAGCTTGAGAAGCTCTTTCTCAGGCTTTCTCGGGTACGCATTGAGCGATGGAAAAGAATGGGATACATTAAGTGTTTTCCGAAAGTATAAGACACATTTATTTAAACAATTAAATTTTAATTTAGATGCATATTGTGAATACGACGCTCATCCGAGGAGATATTACGTTTCTTTATGACAGTGACCAGAAAGTAAATTTGCTGCAGAAGTTGTCTCAAATAACAACTGACACGAATATGTCAATCCTAGCAACACTAAATCATACCGTGATATTTTAGATGGTATTAATCAAAAATGTACAATTACAGTGTGCAATCCTCCTTGGGAATATTACAGTTTTTGCAGTTGTAGGACTACAATGACATTACGGATACGAAGCAGGATGTTCTAATGCTTTACAGGAACTCAGCTCCGACTTGAAATTTTACAACGACGAAATTCACCATACGTCTTTGATAACTATATTAGAGCGTGCAACCCACACGCCACGACGTTTCTCGCTTGTTGCTTTGCAAGTTCTTCGGTTCATAATTCCGCATATCTTATAGACGAAGCTGCTACACTGGCAAGTATTTGTCTTACAAAAAAAAAATCATTATATAAATGACAAGGTTCGCCTCTAAAGATTGATGCTTGCAGCCCGTCTCCCACCGGTGTGGTTGGTGTTTTATACCACCCAACCTTCGGTGTGAACGATGGATGGATAGCGTAAGAGGGCGCAGATGTGACTGTCGTTTTGGCGTCCCAAACTTTAATTGGTGTTGTCTATAGCTACATTACGACTGCTGAGCAGAAAGGTCCACTTGGACAGACGCGTGGTATCAATCCACATTTATGGCTGTGATACCGCGAGAATTGCAGTGCAGCGCAGAGTTACAAAGATATGACATTTCTTGACGTACTCTAGGGGACATGATAAGTACATAATACCAGAAGAGCTCACGTTCCAGCCGGGCACCAGAGCTCAATGCAAAACCTTTACCAACTAAAATTAAAAAAAAATTAAAATGGCGAAGTTTGTTCATTATTTGAAATTTTGACCTATTTTCCTCTTTGCACAAGCAGTAGCCAAGCCTGCCCACCTCAACAAAACAGGGTACGTACCAACCAAGCGTTATTGGAACTCTTCGTTTGAAGTTCTTTCCTCTGCTGTTCCGATAATTTTGCAGCATCGGAACATGCTAGCAAAGCTGCAACTACACAAAGAAATACAAGCATCGTCTCGTAAAGTCCTCGCTCAAAGATGCATCGAAGGAAGGGAGAGACTTATTTATATAAACTCTAAAACTGCTGACATTTGGAAAGGTCATTTGATATTGTCTAGTTGATCAACAAGGATTTAACAGCTAGGCGGAAAAAAGTGCTGATGCTTAGTATAGTAACGAAAAAATAAAATCCGTAGGATCTGAATTGACGAACAAAAAAAGAAAAAAACTTTCCCTACAATGCGCAGCCAGCGGTCACACTGGAGCCTGTTAGTTTGTTCTCTCACCAAACAAAAAAAATTATTGCACAAACGCACGTTTTTCTACAACACAAAGTAAAGGGCGGAACCTCAATTACAGATCATTTATAGAATATTTTCTGTGCGATGATTTAGCAGGATTAAGAAAACGTTAGGCTTAGTTAACTTTAGGTTTTTTTAGCGAAACGGTGGCTGCTATTCTGAGACTACCGGAAAGTAACATTCAAGTTCAGATTTTGTATGACAGCCAATAAATCCAGAAGGATCATGCGCCGCTTACGCCTGATTTGCTTGTTGCGATTTTGTAGAAGAATCTGGAGTTGGGCAGGTTGGTACATCTTAGATTCGAAAAGCGCCAGAAGACAAGGACAACAGAAGGAATAGACGAAACGATGCGCTACTTTCAACTGAATTTTTATTCCGAAAAACAAACATATATATACACACTCAATCACCCATTTGCTTGTAATCAAACTTCTCGTGAGATGAATTCAAATTCTTTATCTCATAAAAAGACCGAGGAAGTGCTGATACATGCATCGCCCTTCACCCTGATATTAAAAGCCTGGAAGATTTCTCTTCCTGTTCTTGTTTTACATCCTCCCAAAATCAGCGTTTCATCGAGTGCAGGAGAACATGGGAACCGATCACAATGAACGACCAAGTTTCCCGAGGGTGACCACCTAACAGAAAAGTAATGCTCCCTGGCCCTCTCGTTGACGCACCTCCCCGTCTGCCCTATATACGTTCTCCCGCATGACGTTGGTATCTCGTAAACCACCGCTGTTTCGCATTCTCCATATTTGTTGGCATGCTTTTTGTGCATGCTTCCGCCTTGCGTGACTTATTATTCACCCTTGGACATAATCTGGCTAACTTCGACGGGGCTGTAAACACACAAGAACGCCGAAACGCCCGGCTATCTTTTTAAGATTATGGGACAATCTGTGAATGTACGGCAGAACCGCCACTTTCTGTTTCTTCTGCGTGATGCCTTCCGATTCACTTTCTCTTTTTTTCAACTTTAACACGAGGCTTTCGGTGATTTCCACAAGATGTCCCTCTGTATTCGCCTCGAGATCGAACCGTGTCGCCACCGTGCGGCCGAAATTGGAAACGTGCGATAGCGGGGATCCCGCCGTGCGTCGTCTGCTACGGGCGCACGCTCAGAAGCATGGATCTCGACGACGCAAGCCCGTTTCAGGCTGAGCTTGACATTCCTTATTAAATGTTTTATATTTTCGTTGCCGTTTCTTCTTACCAAAGGTTGTGTTGTATCGTTTCCCATGCGTAGAAATTCAGCAAAGCGACTACTATTAAGTCGGAAGCTTCCATAATCTTGGTTTGTATACAATCGCCGGTCCCACGTGTTTTTTGTTATCTCGCACAAACCGTGGCTTTCATAAAGCATCGAATGTTGAGTGGGTCTGTGGTTTGATTAGAAAAGTAACGCGACTGATCACTATCCTTTAATAGACTAATCAATCAATAAATCCGTATGTTGATTTTGCGCCGGTCATATTGAGTGAAAGACGTTAAAACTACACATTGTTTTACTGGTTTTACTATATGCCATAAATGACATATTGCATTCCCATTCTAAACTTCACGTTGTGAGTCCTACATAAATATGAACACGGGAAGCCTTTTAAAATGAAGTTTTTTTAAAGTTATTATTTAAACAATATAATCACCCTCGGCGAAATGACAAGCACGCTGAAGTGGTTTACCGTGCAAGCCTGTGTCACAAAAGAAATAGAGACGTCAAAAATATTAATGCAGGCATTTTTTTCTCCTTGCTGATTTTCTCCAGCACAAGACTCCAATTAACTGGCATAAAATGCAATTAAAGCATTACTTGAATAATCTGAAAGTTAATCAATGAACTGTCCAGTCCCGATGTACGTTAGGTGAGGGCGGAGGGTGATCGGAAAGTCTCGTGAAGGTCGCTAGCCCTCATCAATAAAAGAGTATCACTGCGATTGATGCTGTCTGTGTTGTGGTGCGCGTCGTGTGTTTGGGTTGCAAAGTCTACCGTGTTTAAATACAAGATTATTTAGCCAGATATTTATAGTATTAGCCTTTGGCGGTGCTCACCAAGAAAATTCAAGCGGGTGAACCCACACTACCGAGAAAAGCATTTAATAATAGGAACATTGCTGCGTTGCTCGGTTACACTCTTTTATTACAGTCTCGGCAGATATATTAGAACAGTTTGTTTCAGTTGTCCTGCCAACTGTGCAGCTTGCAGATCTTAACTAGAAGAGACACTCTCTCCTCAACGCAACGCATTCGATTTTTCAGACACCAAAGAACTTACCCACACTATGGCACAGTAAAAGGGCAGAGGAACTTAATAGCATGGTAATTTCCATTACAGCGCTAACTTATCTTCATTCTAGATTATTATATTACTGCAAAAGCTAGAAGTTAAAAAAACAAAGCACAGAGGCTGCGATTTCACAGCCCACAACACCAGTATTTTGTTATCTGGGTTGGAATTTATTATTTTTTTAATTCCCATGTTGATGAACCGATACATCCATTTTAAAAGAAACAAATATTTAACATAAATATTCCAGTTCAGCCGCAGACAGGCATCAGTCGTGGTGATCCATGCTTTCCAACGTCTGCCTAGAGCAGACGACGCACACACAGAAGCGATTATACAAATTTAGGCCGCACGCTGGCAACACGATTTGATCTTCACTGAAGCACCGAACAGTACCGCATCCTTTTCCGCTAAAATTGTTTTGCCACCGATAGTATGCGACAAAATAAACGCAAGAATCTACGCCGTCTCGCGCGCGAACGTGGAGAGCCTATGGGGCGGCCGTTCTCCTATCCCCGCTTTGATGATGATGATAGCGCGACCGTAGCGCCACCTCTAGGTCGATCTCGAGGCCAATACCCCGCGTTTTGTAGGCGGCAGACTTGGGTGAGGAAGCTTGAACCAACAACATGTTCACATGGTTTTTCTAGCGCTGCGAGCATCAATGAAGTTGCCACTCCTCTCTTTACCAACTTCGAGTGTGCAGAATCGAAGGGAAGCACACCTCTTTTTGATCTTGGCTCATATCTCCAGCAGACATGATTTTCCTCAAACTTCAAATTTAAATCCAAAAACTGGAGGTGCCCTTTTTTTCATTTCTTCATGCGTGAAAGTCAACCCATTGGCATTGTTCGAGAACACTTCTAACACGCGTTTTATGGACTCTTCATTTGCACTCATGGGCCGATTTACTAAAACCAAGAAATCGTCCACATACCTGAAGATTCTAAAGCCCCCTGTTTCCACTAACTTCCTGCTGATCCCTCTGTCACATTCCGCCAAAAATATGTCACACAAGACCGGGGCAACCCGGGACCCAAAACATATCCCTCGTTTTTGTACATACAACTCGTTGCTAAATGAAACCACCGTAGACTCAAGGTGCAAGGCAAGCAGTTCACAGAAAGACTCAACACTTCTTCCACATGAACTCCTAAACGCGGTTTCTCCCGAACTCTGAATGCACTTTTTTTACAGTGGGAAATAGTAGTTCGTGCGGAATGGAGTAGAAGAGATCTTCCACATCGATGGACAAGGCAGAGCTATAGCCGAACCCTCTTTCCCTCACATGTTCTATGACCTCCTGTGAGTTCCGGACCAAGAAGGGATCCCTGAGCACAAGCCCTGACAAATGTAGGCTGAGAAAACCACCCACTTCCTTCTGCCATGAGAGACTCTCTGTCACTATGGTCCTGAGCGGGCACTCAATATTGTGGGTCTTAGCTGTAAAAAACACATCTAAATTGAGGTTTTTTTGCACCCTTCACTCTCCTGGCCAAGTTGGATAGTTCCAGCCATTCACAGATCTCCACTGCCTTTTTCTTGATCTTTTGAAGAGAGACATCCACTTGCCTGAAGTTCTTTGTGATGGCTTTCGATGACTTCTCATCGTAGAGTCCCTGAGGGAGTACCAAGAAACCCCCTTCTTTGTCACCCGTGAGAAGCTTCAGGTTGTTCTCCTGAAGGTACAACACGACGCAGCTGATAATCATTCCACTTCTCTGCACTGTCGTCCGGAGCCGGAGTGCGTCCACTGTTTCGGAGAGACACCTTTCTTTTTCTTCTGGCACAACGTGATCTGCAAGACTCCTAACCAGGGCAATCTTCTCGATGGGATTCAGTCTTGGTTGCGTGCAGAATTTGGGCCCATGTTCAAGTACCTTCTTCACCTCAGGTGGAACTGTGGCATCCCCCAGGAGCGTGACCTCGCATGGGGCGGGAGCGCACTGCTTCTTCTTGCGGAGCGTGATCCTAAGCTTTTCCCACAGGAAATTCCCCGTCTGGAAGGCCAACCGGAGGTGTTCCTCGTACATCCTTTCGGACGCTCTTTTGCTGTAACCCGTGCGAAAACACCACACCTTCAAGGAGTCTCTGAATCTGCTTACTTGCTTCCACATTTCTGCCCTTAGAATCCTGCACATCCTCTTTGCATGCCTGGGCGAAGGGGGCAAACTTCCGAAGAGCGCGTTCACTTCCTGCGGGCAGTATCAAACGCGCAAGGAGTACGTGTACTCTCGAGCACGACAGTTACAAACTGCGATGCAGTTTACCAAGGAAACCCCTAAAACGGGAGCGTTGTTAGACGACGGAAAAGAGCCCGATGTAGAGGAAATAAATTGTAGAAAAATCTGGAGTTGGGCAAGTTGGTACATCTTAGATTCGAAAAGCGCCAGAAAACAAGGACAACAGAAGGAATAGACG